AAAAAAAAAAAAGCCGGACAGCCTTGAAAGCCCCGTGGAGCAATGTGTTCTCCTACAGAAGTCGGCGTGGATTCCGTGGCGTCCAGTAACAGGTGCCTCCAAGACCTGACCGGAGGGTTATTCTGTGCTTTTCGCCAAGGGAAGTCGGCCTTGCATTTTTAGTACACGCTGTGCACTTTCCATCGCATCTGCAGAACCGTAGCATTACAATCATTGCCATCTATTCCTGTATTACAGCCTGCGAAACCTAGATAGCACAGGCCCCCAAACTTATGCGGTCTATTCCACCCTCTTTCAGAAAAAAAATTACTCAGCTTCCCCCTGGCAGTTAAAACCTTTTGTACTATAGTCCATAATCCCGGATAAAGTGTAGGTATTGCTTTTGCACACGCACCCCCGCACACCGTTCCAGATCCCCCCCGCCCCCACACACACACACCCATGGGGCAGTAGCACCCACTTTGGGAAACACTGCTATCTAGGGTCCCTATGCGCCGGAACAGCCCCCATAACAGTGAGTAGGTTCCGGAAAGGAAATAGCTTATCCAGGTTTGTGATGCCGAGGAGTGATTCTGATTCATAGTGACCCCATGCGACAGAGGACTGCCCCCCACCCCATCCCACATGGGTTTCTAAGTTGCAATCCTGAGAAGAGTAAATGCCCAGGTCTTCTTCCACAGAGATGCTTGCTGGGTTCAAATCACTCACCATTCAGCTGGCAGCCAAGTGCTTAACAATTGTGCCAAAAGGAACTGGACGCTTTTCTCGGCATCTCCCACTCTTTCACAATAACTGGCACAGAATCGGCTCTTTAGAGATTTTGGATCATTGAATACTCTATGGATTCATGCATAGAGGCAACTGTTTTCATTGGCATAACAAAGATGACATCCGTCATCACTATTGCCCTGTCTAGGGGCCAGACAGTGAGTGCTCCCCAATGCTCAGGTCAGTAAGAAATTACATGTCCATTTGGGGTTGACAGCATCGCTTGACAGCGAGCTCTGGCTGTGATTAAACCATCTTTGCTCCAAATACCGGAAAAAACCGCAACCACTGCCATTGTGTATTCAATGCCAACTCCAGAGACCATACGGGACAAGGTAGAACGGCCCCTGTGAGTTTTCAAGATGATAACTCTTTACAGGAGTAGAAAGCTCATGCATGTCTTTCTCCCGAGGAGCAGCTGGTGGTTTCAGTTGCTAAGGCGCGGATCTACTTAAGGTAGCTGTAGAGCACAAAACAAATGTGGGAGGCTGGGAACTGGTTAGCCTTTTTTTCGCTGCATGAGTTTTAGGATGATTCAGAATATATTCTGTCATATGATGAGGTGGTTGATAGCTTCCCTCTCATTGCAAGCCTTAAGGTTGTTTTAGAACAAATTGCAGGAGATGGGTATCTCCCCCAGAAACTGATAAATTAAGCTTCTTGCTGGGGGAAGCTGAGAGTAAGGAATATAAAGCTTTTGCATGCATATGAAGTGACAAAAGGAGCCATGAAACTATTTTATCAAAAATCTAGGTTAAAGAAACCCCAGCAAATATGAGGAAAGGCTAACGAAGAGTTAGAAGTTACTAGGAAAACAAAGGTCCAGGGGGAGAAGATGACTCAGCAAAAGCAAGAGACATCTGGCAGGGTAGCATTAGTCACGGAGAACTCAGCAGTCATGAGTATGCATTTTGTGAGAATGATTGTAGACTAGTCAAACAGTTTCAGACCAAAGTTAAATCCTTAAAAGGCTGTACAATGAAACGTATTCCCCAAATTGTTTTATCAACTATCTAGAATCGCTTCTGTGAAGATTCACCAAATAAATTACTACATAGCACCAATATTTCGAAAAATATGCTTTTAGAGAAAAATCTGTCCATTCAAACCTTGCAGGAGGAATAGTGTGTTCAGCACAGAGTTGCCATTATAAACGCAAGGCTTGTCCAACTGCCTGTCTGCTTACGTCTTGATGAATCCTAAATCTCCTGTGCAGTCCCTGTCTCCACACGTGCTGAAATCTGGCCAAAGGCCAATCGTGGGTATCATTTTAGCAGCAGAAAATCATTTAATATGAAAAGGGTTTGCCTTTATTCTTAATAATAGAACATATATGGGATTTGAATGTTTTGATGGTATTGTTTCATGTAGGTACCTCTTAATTCCCCATCTCTATAACTTTTTATCAGGAATCTTGGTGGCATAGTGCGTTACGTGTTAGGCTGCCGGCATCCCTGGTTAGCAGTTCGAGTCCAGCAGCCTCTCTGGGAGAGCGACGAGAGTTCGCTGCAGTAAAGATGGACAGCCCTGGAGACCCGAGGAAGCAGGTCTACTCTGCCCTATGGGGTCACTATGCATCAGAACCGACTTGATGAGACTGGATATCGTTCCTTACACATGACATATGCACCAAATTCAATGAACACAAAGTCAGTCTCTCAACACATTCTTCGATGTTTACCAGATCTAAGATCCTTGCTAGGTTCTGGGTGTTGATAGTAAAATAAAAGGGGTCCCGTTCCTATTAAACACATGATCCCTCCTACACTCTGCCAGATTTTGATGCTTTGAGTGCTAGTCTGTCAGCATTTTGGATTGAAGGTCAAAAAGACCTCAGCAATGTTATTTATTAACACATTTTGTGTAATTCAAGTTTTTAAAAAGGGTGTAGGTATATCCTGGTCAGCTCAGCATACTGATACGTTTAATTGTAAAAAGAATGGAAGATTTGAGATTGTGCATTTTATCAGTTTGAATATATTTGAAGAGGTGCTTACGCTTTGCCTACATGCAAAATAGTGTGCCCTCCAGCACGGAAAGGCAGTCATATAAAGTGGCAAGGCGAACAGCAAAGACAGCCAGCGGGGGCTTCCTCAGGCGAAGAGGAAGAGCGACCACCACAAAGCGAAAGGGCCCGCTAGGCGCATTCTTCTGTATTTGGACACTTCGTTGCTGAACGCACACACGTGAAACATTTGATGAACAAGCCTATTTCACACGTGTTTCCAGTTTAGACCCATAACCCATCCAGTCACTGCATCCTTCCATGGATGGTGCTACACTCTCTCGCACACATTCTCCTTTCCAGCAGCATCCTCAGGGCAGGGAGTGGTTTCAGTCGAAGCAAAGTGACTTCCACACTGGATCGTGTTTATAATGTTGGGTTAGTTGGAATGATTCCCCTAAACCAGCGGTTCTCAACCTGTGGGTTGCAACCCCTTTGGGGATCGAACGACCCTTTCACAGGGGTCGGCCGATTGATAACAGTAGCAAAATGACAGCTATGAAGCAGCAATGAAAGTAATTTTATGGTTGGGGTGGGGGGGTCACCACAACATGAGGAACTGTATGAAAGGGTCGTGGCATTAGGAAGGTTAAGAACCACTGCCTTAACCGTAGCCCTGTATGTTTCTCACAGTTCTGAATCCACTACAGACAGACCATAAATGGACTCC